TGCCTCCAGACCCTGCGCCGCCGGAGCAGAGCAGCTGGAGCCCGGGAAGGGAAGTGCCCGGCCGGCGGCTTGGGGTCCGGAGGCACGGGGGCTGCCCGAAGCCGGTAGCGCTGGCTCGGGCAGCTTGGCTCTTAAACAGAGCCGAAGTCTGAGTCAGGGGAGGAGAAGTGCCCGGCCGGCGGCTTGGGGTCCGGAGGCACGGGGGCTGCCCGAAGACGGTAGCGCTGGCTCGGGCAGCTTGGTTCTTAAACAGAGCCGAAGTCTGAGTCAGGGGAGGAGCAGAGCAGAGCAGGAGAGGAAGTGCCCGGCCGGTATTTTTCCCGGACATGTTCGGCTTTTTGGCAATTCCCCCCGGACGGGGGTTTGATTGCCGAAAAGCCAGACATGTCCGGGAAAAACCGGACGTATGGTAACCCTAATCATGCTGGCAGAGGCGGGGGTCACCAGCAGGGGTCAGGTCATGCCGGCAGTGGCACAGTCACATCACAAGTGGCAGAGTCATGCTGAGGGGCAAAGTCACAGGCACAAGGTCACACCGGCAGGGGCAGGGTCACATCATTCCTGGAAGTACTGGAATGTCCATGTCCTGTGTTCAGGGGATGTGTCAGTGGCCACCCTGCCTGTGGCACATTTGCCTTGATCAGCCCTTTGCTGGGCACCAAGCATCTCTTTCCCAAGGCGCCAAACTTCCCAGCCTCATTTGCCTGAGGGCCACGTTTAACAACCGAACTCGCATGTGGTTCTAAAGGGCTGCGGTGGCCGAGCGGGTCCAGTACCCATGGGCAGCGCCACACCCTGCAAGCGTGTCAGCAGATCGCCCCCCTCAGCCACCATGTGTGCAGGGCGTTTGGTGCCTTCCTTCAGTTCCTTGACAACATGCAAACAGGCCAGCTCCGTGTGGCTGCTGGCAACCTGAGTCACGGGGGGATTCCCCCAGCCAGCGGCACCGGGTGCGGGTCTGTACCCGCGGCCCGGGCACCCCTTGCGGGTCTGCACCCTGGACCGGACAGAGGGACGGGAAAAGGAGCACAGCGGGTGCCCTGTCCCTGGCAGCGCGCGCACGTGAACAGCGCGTGAGCAGCCGCCCCGGATTCCTGCTCGCGCAGGCTCCTGCCTGCCTGGCCTGGGCGCTGACTAACGCGTCAGAGGGAGGCGGAGCCAGCGAACACCTCTTCTCTCGGTTGCTGCAGTTATGGAAAATTTTTAGAACCTTTGCCCCGCGCTCTGAAAGCAGGGCCCCGCCCTCTTCCTCCTCTTCAACTGCCCCCGCTTCCGCCGTCACCCCCGCCCCAGCCTGCTCTAGAACTTTCGGCGCCGCTATCCGGGCAGGCTGGAACCTAACGGTCAGCTCGCGCCGCCGGGCTGAGACCCCGGGTCTCGAGGCGCCGAGTACCCGAGCTGCTCCCGCCGCCCTGCCGGGGAGAACCCCTCAGCCACGATGGGGCGCGGTCGGCCACTAAAGAGGAGCACCCCTAAATTTAGCAGCTGCGCCTTAAATCCGTGCGCCCCGTGCCCCTGGGGGAGGACATCGCCCCCCCTCAATCCCGGCTCGCGTGGGGCCACGTGTGCGCTGAGTTCCACGCGCGCTGGGCTGCTGTGCCTGGCGCTCCCGGGGGGAAGTCCCCATTGCAGCCGTGACGGGGGGGAGGGCTAGAATACGGCGTGCGGCAAACACCGCCCGGGCCGTGGCCGCACAGCTCAGACGCACGAAGCTAGCCCAGCCAGCACACAACCCCCTCCCCGGCTCTCCACCCCATAGACCCTCCGCACGGACACGTGCGCCCCTCCCGGGAGAGCCCACAGCAGGGGGCTCCATCAGCCTTCACAAACACCGCACCCTACAGGGCCACCCGCGCCGCAAAATGCGCGCACCCATCCCCCTCCAGCTCCGGCCCATGCGCACAGCCGCCGGCGGGAAGGAATTAAAGGACTGGGGCCGTGTGAGGGAGGGATACCTCCCGGGGGGAGCGCACGTTGCACTAACAACAGAATGCTCCCCCCTTCCAGAGGCACCAACCTCGCAACTCAGAGAGGGAGGGACTCCCCGCAAATCTCTCCCCCTCCCTCCCGAGGCCACTCGCTAAAGGCGTGTGAAATACAGTGGAACATTTGTCTACATCCCTGCACGGGGGAAAGATAGCGAAATCCCCCCCACCAACTTCCCAGAGGGGGGAGATGAGCCAATAAAATCCATGCCCAGCTCTCCCTGGAGAGGCGGTAATGCTTAGTACTGACCCTCACCCCGCCACAATCTGCCTACATCGTAGAGAGAGCAAAGTCCTCCAACGATCACTAGGGGGGAAATAGTAAGACATTGGCTGAGGATAAGGGAGTTGTGTCCCCCTTCCCGGGCCCCTTAAAAAGTGTGAGACTCCCGGCGAAGGGCTAGGAAAATACTCCAATGACGCAAGCCGAAGGGTTCCTTTTAAACTCGAGCTACCATCTGGACTTATATGTGCGCGCACCGCATCATACATTACAAATAATAAATGACAGCAGTAGGACCATGAGACTGATCAGCTTTCACCTCAGTAACCTTTGCATCATTGTAACATGATACAAACAGTAAAGCCTGTTAGTCTATAAGGTGCCACAGGACTCTTTGCTGCTTTTACAAACACTAAGGACGGGATGACTGGAAACAGTGAGAGTCTGGGGATCATTCACAATGATGGACGGGGGAGTCTCAGCTACACCCATTTAAATGGTACTGAAATCAAATACTCTGTAAACTGCAATTGGCAAGTGAGAATTTCTTTACACCAAGGAGTTCTTTACAAACAGCCTCACCCCACCCCTGTGAAGTAGGATTTTAAAGATGGGGGAAGTTGAAGCCGCAGACCTTTTAGTAATGAATGAATGATGTCCTTGAAAGAATTATGGTTATTGCATCATGCATTCACTGAACCGCTCTGTATCTCTGTCTTCTTCTCTCTAAAAGGCGGTTTACCTCACTCACTCTAGTGTTGTGAGGTTTCATAAATTGATGTCAGGCCCTTTGAGATCCTCTGAAATAGGTGAACACAAAGTCGTGGTGGTATCTCGTTTGGTGATGGGGGGGTTAGTTAAGTACAGTTTGTCTCCAGTGTTACATCAGTGCCCTGCTAAATAATGTTCTCGTGGTATTGCTCGTCGATGGAGGAGGGGGCTTAGTGACAGCGCCTGAGCGGCATCTGAAGCCTAGCGAGAGAGGAAATGAGCCGGGGGCGTGGCTACGAAGCGCCGGGAGCCGGGCTGGTGTTGGTATACAAAGGAGAGGCGGCACATTGCTGTGTATGTAGGTGCCTCGCCCCTTCCTCCCCCCGCCGCAGTCCACTCTCAAAAAGCAGAAGCAGCAGAGACATTTTTCAGACCTGTAGTAACGTCGTGCGGGAGCGATATCCGGCTGCCCGGCCGGGATAACAGCGCTGCCTACCAAAGCCACATGCTCTCCTTATCAGCTGAGGGTTTGAGTAGAAGGAGAACCTTAATTTTTTTCTCGTGTACCGGTGGCTTTTAAACGAAATTTTGGTACTTTTCTTTATTTATTTTCTACTTTAAGGATTGTTGTTTTTTTCCTTTCAAGAACATTTAAAATTATCAATTTAGAAAAAGATCTCGTCGGTATTCTGAGGATTTCTGAGGGAAAATCCTGGGGTTTCAGCTTCGCCAAGGTAAGTACTGTGCTTATTGCTCGTGTGGTTGTGGGGGTGAGGGGTCTGGGCTTTAAATCGCTGAGTGGATTATTGGTGCCTTTAGTTAAGGTCAATATTATGTTTCGGAAACGATATTAAAACCCCCTGCGAGGGATTTTCTGTGTGAGAGTGGGTCAGACGGACGCAAAATCCCGCCCCAGCTGTTGCTTCCTTCCAAGGTAAAAAAAAACCCCACGCTGCTGGTGCAGTCTTGTGACTGATTTGCATTTTTTCCCCATTTAAACTGCAGGGATCCCATGTCCCTGGAAGGGGGGAGGGAAATAGAAAGCAGGGAGCGGTATGGAAATGTTTGAGAGGAAGGTTAAGCAAGAGTGAATATGACAATCGCACATGGATATTGCATCAGCTTTCTTTTCTGACGCAGGAAGGGTGGACTGGAGGTATTTCTCTTTCACACATAACAGTACACGTGTGTGTGTGATCAAATACATCTATGTGTAAGGATATTTTATTAATATAACAAATATTTTTCATTATAGTATACTGTGTGGGTACTTCTCCGTTATAAATCTTAATGTGAATATAATAGTTTTTACATTGCAATATGATTAGTCTTTATGTAAATTATGTAAATTGGGTGGATTTGATCTTCAGATATAAATGTCCTAGCAGCTGGAGCGTGTGATCTTGATTTCATTCTTTTGCTTTTGTGTGTGCATGAAAGAGCATGTCTCAGAAAGCCCAACGTACATATACACTGGCAGACCTTTTCCTATGCAGATCACATCTTCTGGCGTGTGCTTGGGTGTTGTAGTTGAAGATTTATCTTTGTTCTCCGTTGTAGTCAGTATCTTGTACTTTTCCTCTCCGCCCCTCCTCGGCTGGTACTTTTCCACTCGTCTGGCTGACGATGAATCAGCCCCAGAGCAGCAGCAAGCCGCCGCTCTTCACGTGACCCGCTTGATAGACCACTGCAGTATTGACGTTTCCTTTTTACCTTCACAGGCAAGGCAAATCCGGCATCCAAGGACAAAAGAGCGAGCTCAGTGGAGACTGCCACCGAGGGGCAGTCATCAGGCCAAATATTCCCCACTTCATCTAATACTGGGAAAAGCTAATTGAATTCCCATCATGGACAGAGCAGACGTGAGCAAGTTTAACATCTCTCCAGATGAAGACAGCAGTAGCTATAGCTCCAACAGCAATGACTTCAATTATCCATATCCAACCAAAGCACCTATGAGGTTAGAGGGATTTTGCATTGCTCTTAGTTTTGTTTCTATTTGTTATATTATGTGTAATAGAGTACAAATATTATTTCACACCTTTAAAGTACTCTTTTAAAATGCCTTGCTAGATCTTAATGTTTTTAATGTTTACATCTATTACAAATATAGGAAGTTGAATATACAACATTTTGTATAGTCATTTTGCAGAGGACAGATTATGTAGTTAGTTTTGTTGGATGATTTGCTGGTTTTCTAATTCCCTTTGAAACAGAATAAAAAACTGAAACAACGAACTTCTTAAAGGCAATTAATGTATAACTGGCTCGTTATAACAATTAAATATGGATATTTTTTTTTTTCTTACAGACCATGTGTAGACAGGGATCCAGAAAATCAAAATTTCCTGCTTGAATCCAATCTTGGAAAGAAGAAGTATGACATTGAATATGTAAGTATGCACTAACGATGTTTTAAAATTAGCACACTAAATTGCTTTACTTTCAAATATTTAACCTTGAAAAGTGGAAAATGTTCATTTAAATTCAAATCGAAAGCATGAATAAATCACTGGTTCTGTATTAATTATTAGCTTTTCCTTCCCTTACACAGCATCCAGGTACTACTTCCTTTGGAATGTCAGCGTTTAATCTGAGCAATGTTATTATGGGTAGTGGCATCCTTGGACTTTCTTATGCCATGGCAAACACTGGAATTATTCTTTTTGTGTAAGTATGTTTTGGTTAATTAAAAAAGGCTCTTCTGCCATGTATCTGTTAATAGACAATATTAGTGGTATCCAGTGTAGTTGTAGCTGTGTTGGTCCCAGGATAGTGGAGAGACAAGGTAGGTGAGGTAATATCTTTTATTGGACCACTTTCTGTTGGTGAGAGAGACAAGCTTTTGAGCCATACAGAGCTGTTCTTCAGGTCTTCCTTTGAACCCGTTACAAGCCTTGTGGATAGGCAGAAGTAGTAAATGTGATATAACTCAACTTTAACTAGGTTTTCATACGGTCTCACATGACCTTCTCAGAAGCAAACTAGAGAAATATAGCCTAGGGGACATGGAATGTATTCAGGGGGACGGAGGGGAGAAGCTTTAGAAGAGTAGCAGTTGCTGGCTGGGTGTGCCTTACCTTACTGACGGTGGCGCTGCCTTCCAGCTGCCGGCCAGCAGCGACCACTCCCCACTCTGCCTTCCAAGCTGGGCAGCCAGAGAGTGGTGGCTGCTAGCCAAGCGCACAGCTCTGAAGGCAGTGCCGCTGCCAGCAGTAATGGAGAAGTAAGAGTGGCAGTGTCATAAATGCCACCCTAACTTCTGCATTGCTGCTGGCGGCAGCACTGCCTTCAGCACTGGGTGCTTGGCCAGCAGCTGCCGCTCTCCACTCTGCTTTCAGAACTGAGTGGCAGTATGTGTACTTGTGGGGGTGTGTAAATGACTACAGACACAAGCGGGAGTGGAGGGGAATCAAATAAGTTTGAGAACCACTGGGCTAGATGAACCTATTGCAAGGTGGGTACACAACTGGTTTGAAAATGGTATTCAGGGAGTTATCAGTGGTTCACAGGTTAGGCTGGAAGGGCATGTAGAGTGGGGTCCCACATGGATCTGTCCTGAGTCCAGTTCTAGTCAGTGTCTTCATGGATAATTTGAATAAATGAAATGGAGAGTACACTTACAAATTGTGTGGAAGATACCAAGCTGGGAGGGTTTGCAAGTGATTTTGAGGATAGGCTTAGAAATCAAAAAAATGATCTTAACAAACTGGAGAAATGACATGAAATAAATAGGGTGAAATTCAACAAGGACGAATTGTTCCTTCCTAAGTGGAGTATTTTCAATCAGTTGCACACATACAAAATGGGAAATGACTGCCTAGGAAGGAGTACTGCAGAAAGGGATTTGTTCATAGTGGATCACAAGCTAAATATGAACAGTATAACACTGTTGCAAAAAAAGCAAACATCATTCTGCGATGTATTAGCAGAAGTGTTGTAACAAGACATGAGAAGTAATTCTTCTGCTCTACTCTACACTGATTAGGCTCAGCTAAAGTATTGTGTCCAGTTCTGAGCATCACATTTCAGGAAAGATGTGGACAAATTGGAGAAAGTCCAGAGAAGAGCAACAAAAATGATTAAAGGTCTAGAAAACATGACCTACGAGGGAAAGACTGAAAAAATTTGGTTTGTTAGGTCTCGAGAAGAGAAGGCTGAGGGGGGAACATAAGTTTCCAAGTACGTAAAAGATTGTTATAAAGAGAAGATTGATAAATTGTTCTCCTTATCCACTGAGGACAGGACAAGAAGTAATGGGCTTAAATTGCAATAAGGGAGATTTAGGTTAGACATTAGGAAAAGCTTCCTAATTGCAAGGTAGTTAAGCAGTGGAACAAATTACCTAAGGAGGTTGTGGAATCTCCATTATTGGAGGTGTAGTGCATGGCATGATTTTTTTTTTTTTTTCCTTAAGACCTTTTATATACCCTTTTCTTTATACGTACTACTTATATATATATATATATATATAAAATAATTTTAATTAACAAAGCTGTGCCATACAGTAAAAATAGCAAAGAGGCATTTACTTGCCCCTTTTATATGCCAATTCCATGCTCTAAAGAGGTTCTGTAGTGGTTATGATAGCCTACCGGGTGTTATGCTGGTGACATCTCTTAGGCGTTAGTGTAGACAAAAAAGTAAAATAGGTGGGAGGAAGCAAGTTTAAAGTCAGTTATTTGAATAATTCAGCACATTATGCTATAATCAGTTCATTTTTTTTTTTTAAAACACTTGTAGCTAGCAATTTAGCAATCATAGGTGCCACAGTGGTTTAATTCATTAATTTTTTTCATCTCTAGATTGTATTCAAATATATTGCTACTGAAATAAGGCTACAATAGTTCACATAACATCACAAAATTAAGTATGATTAGTAGTCTAGATGCCAGAGAGCACAGGTTGCAGTTGCTAAGACATTACTGAGAGTGCATGGCTCACAGGATTAATAACAGTATAAAAGGCTTTTAATGTCTAGCTGATTGGTTCACATCTGGCCCAGGCTGATAGTGACTTTAAATTTTTAACATGATAATTATTAGGCAGCTTATATGAACTGAGCTGGTGGTTTCAGTTCCTACTGGACAAGTGTTCTCAGTGTGTGTGCTTGGTAGTTTCAGCATAGAAGCCAGGAACAAAATGAGCACACGGACTAAATCAGGGGTTCCCACAGTAATTTTTTTGGTGGCCACCAACTCTTGCTGGTGGCCACTCTGACAATTCTTCCTAAATTACTTAATTAACTTTAGGAAAAACAAATAAATATGCACTTATACATGTCCAAATCATAGTAACTTATTTATGCAGTGTATTCTGCAGAACATTGGTGGAGATTCTTGTATTACTTGTCAACAATATGCCTGATTGAAGCTCATGTCCCTACATCTTTTACTTTGACAAGCACTAAAACCCATACAGAAAATGAAAAGAACAAACTGGGAATGAGGACTCATTAAACTGAGCTTCAAAACATTTTTGAGCAGCTATAGTCTCTCTGGGAACTATTCTTTTAAAGCAGAATGCTTGTATTGGTGTAGGAAGGGGCAGTTTTTTGATTTATTACAGCTTTGTGACAGTGGTGTTCTTCAGCTGCAAAGAACAGTGCAGCTGCTGAAGGGTGTATTCATTGTGATTCATTGAGAATTTTTAGAGGTTTCAAAGGAGCATTTCAATAAAGCATATGTAGTTCTAATAGAAACTATAAGAAAAGTAGACAACTTCTGGGAGCCATTAACAGTCTCTGTTTAAGCACAGGTGAAACAGTAAATGTTGAGCAAAGAAAACTGACCTGCATTCAGATCACTTCAGTGTATATGAATTTTAAAACAAACCGTACTGAATCACAAGCTCTTAACATTTTCTAATTGTCCGTCCATACTTTACCAGTCAATTAACTGTCTTTGTATCTTGCTTTACACAAAAACATCACATACAGCTATAAGGTGATTTGTTTCAGACTTCAGCAGATTTTCTCACCTCGTCACAAATTACATCAGTCACAAGTCTAGTGTTTCAGAGATGAACTAGCTGTGATCTAATTACCTAAGAATGTGAGGGGAAAAAGTAAAAATAGAAAAACAGCTGTTATAGTTATTATACAAAATAATGTTTTTTTAAAAAATATTTTTGTTAAAATAATATGTTTATTGGATCAATCAAAAATATATTGGGTCTGATTCTCATTTATACTTGCACCTCTCTAATGCCCCTTTACACTGTTAGAGTGGTGTAAAGTCAATGTAAATATTATTTAATCCCACTTCAGCAGTATCTAGTATAAATGAGAATTGGGTCTCGTTGACAAAATAATAATGAAAATAGGTAGAGGTACCTTCCAATGTGGATTTAAGTATGATGTCCTTTCATAAACAAGCACCGATTGATTCATACCTTCTCAGCTAGCATTGGCACTTACACTTATTTTTCTTAATTATTGTTTCATTTCACTGTATTTTGATATTGGTTCTTATGTTCTATCTTAAATCCTTCCTATTCAAATAGCACACTTTAATTAATGTGGCTAAACTAAATACATCTAAGGCTGTCTAAAAGTTTTTTGGCTTTTTTTTTTCTCCCCCCTCCTAGGATCCTCTTGGTGGTTGTGTCAATATTCTCTTTATATTCAGTTCATCTTCTCCTAAAGACTGCCAATGAAGGAGGTATGGTAAATTCTTATTATTGTACAAATAGTTATTACTAACTTCATATTATCTTTCTTTCGTAAAATACAGCTTTTCAATTGATTTATTTTGTATGTTTGTAGGATCTCTGTTATACGAACAGCTAGGAATGAAGGCATTTGGTTTGGCTGGGAAAATTGCAGCTTCTGGATCAATTACAATGCAGAACATTGGAGGTGAGGGTTTTAAAAATATGTACTGTAGATTGTAATGTCAAATAATAAATACTCCCTCTCCATTCTCAGACTTTTTCACATATCTTTTTATTAATTGTTTGTGTCAAGTAAAGTTATGAAATAAGTTTTTTATGTCATGTTCCATCTATATTTGTAATGATTTATAATGTTATTCACCTACAGCTATGTCAAGCTACCTCTACATAGTGAAATATGAGTTGCCATTGGTCATCAAGTCATTTATGAACATCGAAGAGAACACAGGGTAGGTGATAGTTTCTCTGATGAGCAGGAGTTCTATTAGTAGAAACAAAAATGGACAACATATACATTTTATATCAAGACCTCGTTTGGTACATCTTAGTGTAGCTTCTTAGTCAGAGATAGGGCATTGTTAAGCTCCAGTAAGCCTTTTTTTTTTTTTTTTTTTCTTCCTACCTCTTGGGTGGTCCATTTGACATGGATCTAGTCTCTGCTGGTAAAGATATTAGCAAAATATATGTATTCCATCATATTATAGAAAACAGTTATGTAAAGAATATCCGGTAAGTGCTAATGGCTGTGCTGGTCAACATATTGCTCAATAATGAAATGAAAGTTAAATAGGGTCATAGTTGTTATCTCTAATGTATTTCAGGAAGCTTAGACAGATAAGACAGTTTTCAAACATTAACATTGTGGGAAGTATTCTTACTATAACAGTAAGCTGCATTTCTACAGTGATTCTAGTTAATATTCGCTTAAGGACAAATATTCAGTAAGTCTGTGGCAATATTAAAAACACCAACTCATTGATTACAGTGCATGTAGTGATTTAAGATATACAGCATACATCCAAACTGTGCATCTACATTATCCATTAATCCACACAGAAATTCCATAACTTCTTGGCTTTGTGAATCATGATTTCCTTCACATGGGCTATCACCAGCAATAATATGCAGTCTGATGAGAAGTGCTGAAGGCCTTTGATATGTGTTTTGTTTTTTTTTTTTTATTAAAAAAAATTTTCTTGTTTAAAAAAAAAAAAAAGACAAGTTCAGTACATAACTTTTTATCTTACAGATGTCTAAATCACACTAATTTGAGAATGTATAGTGTGGTTTTTTTTTTTTTAAATTCCAAATAAAGTAACTGAAGAAATGGGTCCAAATTCTTCTCTCATTTGCATTGGTATGAATCCAGAGTGACTCTGTTAAAATAATCCAGATTTACACCAGGTTTCAGAATTTAGCCCTTAGTGTTCAAACTAGTAAAGTCTTTAAGATGGCTTATTTGCTCAACAAGGCTTTTTTGCTCATCCAAATATTACATCTGGTTGACAAAGCCCTGGCTGGGATGATTTAGTTGGGAATTGGTCCTGCTTTGAGCAGGGGGTTGGACTAGATGACCTCCTGAGGTCCCTTCCAACCCTGATATTCTATGATTCTCTGATTCTATGAAAAATATCTCCTGTTATGGATCAGCTAGTACTATTTCCAGTATTAACAGTGGGATAAAGGCTACACTATTACTGCCACAGTTGAATAACCCATGACCAGTTTTGCCCTGTTACTTCATTGCACTGAAGTTACATCTGCTTTACACCGGTCTGAGAACTGAATTTGTCCCCCAGTGTTTCAGAGGAAGATGCTCTCAATACACCTGACAAATGACTGATTACTTTTGCCTATTGAAAGAAAAAAGAAACAAAGGAAGGGGTTCAGGGAAGAAAATCTCTATGAAATTTTCCTTGTGGTGATATTCTTCCATATTTTTTCAGTTGTGATGGGCCAGATTTGCCCCTATGGAACAGAATGAAATCTTCCCTGTGTCCCAGGTGATAGGCAGAAGGCCAGGGCCAGCCATGCAGAGGCCATGTGCTTCTGCTGCAGCTCTGGCTCTCTCTCTGGCTTTCCCCTAGCTCCCTGGCAGCATACAGTAGAGCCACATTACCAGAGATTTCCCCTGGCTCTTCAAAGCCTTTCTTAAAGGGTGATCTCCATCCCAGATGGGGCATAGTGAGAAAGATAATGCAGCCTCAGGGTTGGGGGCTGGGGAGCAACAAAGAAACAAAGGCCCAGATTCACTTAGGCAGCTACCTCCCGTTAGGATTCAAGGACATAAGGACCTTTGTGAATTTGAGCAATATGCATTTTTATTTCCACCAGCTTCTTTATTCACCTGACCAACCCACTGTCTATCTCCTGTCTCCCCCGCCCACCCCCTCCCCCCCCCTCCCCACACACCATGTATGCCTATCCTAGCAGAAGACACTGAGGGAAAGGGACATTGCAGGAGGGAAGATGATGGGAGGGTCACCTCAATATAGATCTGGGAAGCGTGGTGGTTCTTCTCTTCCCTCCCTCTGCTCCCTTGTGGTGTGATCCTTCCTGACTTGGATACTATTCTGAAGAGTGAAGTTCAAATAGTACATCTGAATGCTAGAATTTTCAGCATCTAAACCTATTTCTCCCATTTATCAGGTTAAAAAATATATTTGAAATACTGCCATTTCAAGATGTATCTTCAATAGCCCCTTTATACATTATGTTGTGAAATTATCACAACATCGTTTTATTCTCTGGTATTGTTATTGGATATTTTATCTTTTACTTACATATATTTGTTTCTATAACACACTATTGTTTGTAAGGACTAACCTGTAGGCATCATTGTTGTAAAAATGCTTTGATTACTTATAAATTCCTCTTTTTTTTTTTTTTTTTTTCCTTACAGAGAATGGTATCTTAATGGTGACTGTTTGGTTGTGCTGGTGTCTATAGTGTTCATTCTTCCTTTGTCCCTGCTGAAAAATTTAGGTAAGCAACTATTCATTTAAAGTAAACATGGATACATAAGTTTGATTGGCTGTTAACATGTGGAAGATCCAAATATGGGAGCTACCTCCACATTACTGATCTCTTGCCAGGTGAACGCTGGGAGAACTGTGCAAATAATCTCAGTCCCTGAGGAGAAGAGCAGCACTTCTCTTTTTAAGAAATAAATGAGGGCTACAGAGTGTTTGTAGAGTGTAAGAGGAAAAGAGTGGGTGAGGACAGGACGGGGAGCCTGCAGTTCCCCTGCCTTTGACTGTGACCTTGTCAGATCTCTGTTTACACAGGATTTGGCCTGGTCAATGTACGTGCTATGCACGTTTGAGGAAAGCACAGATACTATGCAAAGTGATGCTCATGATTCAGTTGGTGGAATACTTTCTCTGAATCAATACGGAGTGAATACCCCACATGGTGCTTGACTCGATAACCCACCCTATGTTGTAGAGGACTATGGAACTGAAAGTGGCATTTTTCAGATAACGACCAATTTCTGCTCCCACTGAAGACTATATCAAAATTCCCATTGACTTCATTGGAAACAAGATTAGATCAATTAAGTGAAGCTCCTGACCACTTGTGGTTATCAGTTACCACATGGCACTCTTCCAAGAGTGGGGATGTTAGCCCTTGTGTCCTGGCCAAATTTCATTTTGGGTAACTACATTTTCCCTGCAGTTTAAATTGGAAATAATGATTTTTTGTTGTTGTTGTGTTGTATTGCTGCCTAGTTTCTTAGCAGAAGTGGCTGCACTTCCGTGATCCATATACACCTCTGTACACCTCTACCCCGATATAACGCTGTCCTCGGGAGGCAAAAAATCTTACCACGTTATAGGTGAAACTACGTTATATCAAACTTGCTTTGATCTGCCGGAGTGCGCGTTATATCTGAATTCGTGTTATATAGGGGCAGAGGTGTAGGTGGTTTTTTTTTAGAAAATGGAAGATGGTGGGTTGTTTTGATTTTGTGATTCTTTGAGTGAATAAACCTATAGGAGATCCCCCAGGGCTTGTCTACACAGTGGGCTAATGTGCTTTATAGGGTGTGATTTTTAATGAGTACTAATGTGCTCTGCATTAATTGGGCCATATGCATCCTTCTGGTGCACACTGGCAGGGTGTACACAGACCAATTAATGCACAGCACATTCATGTACTTCAGAAATCATACTCTTACAAAGCCATAATGTGTGGGCTTGTCTTCACTGCACCAGTTAGCACACTTGAATTACTCCACTTACTTGAGTGAGGCCTAGTCTACACGTAAAAATTAGATTGACCTAGCCATGTTGCTCAGGGCTGTGAAAAATTTTGCGCCCAGAGCACCATAGTTAGATCAACCTAACCCTAATGTAGATGCAGCTAGGTTGACAGAAGAATTCTTCCATTGACCTAGTTACCACCTCCTGGAGAGATGGATTAATTACATCAATGGACAAACCCCTTAGGGGGTTGTCAGGTTATTACATGGGGTTGTGAGCTGTCAGCCTCCACCCCAAACCTCGCTTTGCCTCCAGCATTTATAATGGGGTTAAATGTTTTTAATTTATAAGAGGGGTTGCACTAAGAGGCTTGCTGTGTGAAAGGGGTCACTAGTACAAAAGTTTGCAAACCACTGGTCTACACTATGGCACTACAGCGGCACAGCTGCAACACTGGGACTGTGCCAGAGTAGTGTAGGCATAGCCTAAGAGTGACCACATAGTGGAACAACAACCGCGTGATTTTGATTAGCAGCACAGTCACTGGATTAGCAGTTGCTGATGAACTGCTGCATCCTCCAACTGCATTACTAACTCCAGTGACAGCAGCTCCCTCTTAATAGGCCAACTAGCTCAAGTTTAAATTTAAAGTTTAAAACCACGTAATTTGAGCTAGAAATTTTTGGGTGTGGAAGGAGGGACAAAACTTGAGTTTATAGCTTGAGCTAACACTGCAGTGAAAACAAGTGATGAGACACTTGTAAATTAATAAATTTTGTAATTTTTAGCAAATAAGGGGGCGGAAAGCAAGGCTGTAATTAAAATGTTTCTCTTTCTTGATGACAGGATATTTAGGATATACAAGTGGCCTTTCCTTAATGTGTATGGTCTTCTTCCTTATTGTTGTAAGTATAATTTATCTGTAGATTTACAGTGCTTGTAATAGTGCATTTCAAGTGAGATTTCATATGATTTCGAAGAGCTTTATCATATTGTATTAGTTAAAAATAACAATGTGGTATGATGGTATTTTTAGGTAATTTGCAAGACGTTCCAAATCCCTTGTCCTTTGGGATTGGAGTATGACATGATGAACACAACTCTGAATGGCACATTGGCACACCTGGCAACTGCTGCACCTTTGCATGGAACAGCACAAAACATGACTAGTGATGACATGTGCAGGCCAAAATATTTCGTCTTCAACTCACAGGTAAGGTAGCATATGTAAACGGCATTCTCACTATTAAAAATAGACGGAGAACAAACATTACATAGAAATATGGTCATTTTTGCTTACATAATTGCCAAACCTAATATTTTGGGGGCCATTAATTATTTATGTCCCAATCCTGAAAGGCATTGTGCACCTCCTGCAAAATGGGGCTTCCTTAACTTTTATGGAGCTCAAGACGAGATGAGGGTTTCTAGCCTCTCCTGGGAGGCAGTCAGCACTTCTCATGGTAAGGCAAAGCACTTAAGCACATGTTTAACTTTAAACATGTGAGTAATCCCATCTGTATTCAGCAAAACAAATAATTTACCAGATTAAGTTGCACTGGTGCAAACCTCACCAGTAAATGGATTTTGCATTGGTGTAACTACAATGATTGAAAAGTCTCCATTGACTTCAGTGGGCTTTGGATCAGCCCCTAAAGGCCCAATCCTGCAAACCTTTACTCACACAAATACCTCTAGTGATGGAAAATCTCATGAGAAAGGAATACTCATGTGAGTAAAGATTTTCAAGATCAGGCCATAAAGATTAAACCCAGCAAGGCACTGAGCACCTTTTGGGAGATGCAGAGTGCATTCAACTACCATGGGCTTAAGTGGGGCTTGAGGATTCTCAGTATTGGGCCCTTAAGAACAAAAGAGAGAGAGAGTTGTAATAACCTTACAGAATAGTTGACTTTTTTTTAATGGAAAATTGAGACAAATTATACTTTCAATGGAAAGTAAAAATATAAAGCAAAAACCTGCTGATGAATTCTGTGCAACAAAGATAAATTTGCTACATCTATCAAGAAGTTTATAAAGCGTGTTTTATGTTTTTCAGACTGTCTATGCCGTACCAATCCTAACATTCTCTTTTGTCTGCCATCCTGCTATTCTTCCTATTTATGAAGAACTGAAAGGGTAAATGTATAGATTGTATATAACTTTACTGTTCAAAAAGAAACAAGCAATATATTGTCACTAACACTTATTTCTGTTTGTTTCTTTAATAGCCGAACCCGTAGAAGAATGATGAATGTGTCCAATGTTTCATTTTTTGCCATGTTTATAATGTACCTATTGGCTGCTCTCTTTGGATACCTGACATTTTATGGTAGTTATTGCCTCTTCTATTTTCTTTTAAATGAAGCATGTCTCCAGAAATTCAAAATAAATCTTGTGGTTTTTAAAATGTAAAGCAAATTAGCATTAACTAATTAATTATTTGTATACATTCACACACAAAGGGAACCAGTGGTCTTATGGCTAAAGTTCAGGACTGGAAGTCAGGCTATTTTGGTGCTGTTTGACACAGAATTTCTGTTATCCTTGACCTGTCTGTGCCTAAGTTTATCTCTCAGTAAAATGGAGATACTACTTCCAGGGACTGTAAAGCTTATAAAATTCATTTATATTTGTAAAGTACTTTGAGTCCAACATTGAAGTTACTATGTAAGGACAACTATAGAAGTGAGTTTATTATGATTCTGAGCCTTAATATGTTTAAGAAGGGAAATGAGCTTGTTTTTTCTCACTAGCCCCTGTAATATTCTTCACAAACCTCACAATAATGTGCAGTTATGAATTTTTCCTTTTCTACTCCTGTCCTTTTATTGGTTTTCATCTATAAAACCAAAGAACTAAGTTCTGCTCTGTAGCTTCATTGTCTTTAAGGAGTCTACATTTGTATAACTGAGAATAGAATTTGGCTCTAAGAATTTGCTATGATGTTGCCATAGTCTAATAATAAGGTGAAAACCTATATGCCTTTGTCATGCAAAGTCAGTGAGTAGCAGAAAGCAGAATTTGGCCCAGCTGAAGTACATGTGCAAGTAAAATGAGTGGCGCTAGGCCCTGTGTCTCTCTCTCTCTTCCACAAACTCACAGGACAATGTGCTCATGACCAACTGAGTTTTTAATTCACTGTAAATTTGTGGAGGAACTGGACTGTTCTGTTTTATTTCTTAAGAAGTACACAGGGATATTACCATTCTGTTATGTCTTATTAGAGTTCAATTAATATGCCATTTTCTTTATAGGAAATGTTGAAGCAGAATTGCTTCATACTTACTCTGAAGTCCTGGGTTCTGACGTTATTATTCTTATTGTGCGTCTGGCTGTACTTATGGCTGTAACACTTACTGTACCTGTAGTTATCTTCCCAGTAAGTAATTCTTTTTTTTTATTCTGTGTATCCATCTTAGCCAGTAATTGGGTACCTTTCCTTCCTCTCTGGCTGTGGACTAATAGTAATATTAAATTAATTAGGCAAGTACAGTTTGCTAATTTCTAGTAATTTTTTTAACTTTTAAAAAATTGTTCTATATAACAAGTCTGCATGTATGATTTTTACTCATTTAACTGAATCAGAATAATTGAAATAGGCATCAATTTAGAAAGTAAAACATTTTTACATAGAGGGGTCAAAACCGTTTATTTCTATTAATTTATTCATTTATAATAAATACATATTTTACACTATATAATTTTTCTATATTCGAGTCATTGTAAAGAAAATGAGATAAGAGTGTTGGGTACTACACCTGTTCCTTAGTCCCCTTACCAATTTGTTTGTTTTAAATGGTTTTTAGCTAGTTTTTTTTTTTCTCTCAACTGTTTATAAACACCTATATAAAAAACTGGAAAACCTGTTTTTATAAAGAGCTGTCAAATGCATAAAGTCAAGTGAAAAACAGAGAAACTTTTCTCTCTCTAATGTCTTACTGTTATAGTAATCCCAGTCGTTTTTGTATTAAGTTGAAAGTGTCTCTTTAAGGACTTTTGTGATTAATACTAATGTCCTCATTATTTTTTGCAGATCCGCACTTCAATTACACAGCTGTTTTGTGCAGAGAAGGAGTTCAGTTGGTTACGTCACAGTTTAATTACAGTTTTTGTTTTGGCATTTACCAATGTTCTCGTAATCTTTGTCCCTTCCATTCGAGATATATTTGGATTCATTGGTAAGTTTTTGTATATTTGTTCAGGGTTTCGTTTATTTATTTGTTTTTCAAAATCAGAACAATGTCTTCAAAAGTCTAATGAAACACTGTACTTATTTCAGAAAACTTTTTTTTTTTTTGTGTGTGTGTAATATAGGTGCCTCTGCTGCTGCTATGCTGATCTTTATACTTCCTTCTGCTTTCTATATCAAACTAGTGAAGAAAGAACCTCTGAAATCAGTGCAGAAGATTGGGGTATGTGTAGAAGAGTATTTTCATTAACATGCTTTCATCACTGACTGGCTCAGAGCAAGGGTTTTAGTTTATTTCTTTATAATCTAAGGATTTCAGAATGTCTGATCTTCATTGATTAACTAGTAGTGTCTATTATTCTAACAAGCAGTAGTTTCATCGGTAATTGTAACTGGAGAGAGAGCCACCAGGAAGTTATTTCTGCATACTTCCCCACGTGACTTCTCCAGTTGTCCCTGCCAACTCCAGAGGTGACAACAACCAGGATTTCATCCTGAAATAGCAAATTGTTAGTGGAAATTAAATAGTGGTGGAAATATAATTATTTTAATTACATACAGCTATTGCACCGTTACTGACACTAAAGTAGTGTGAATAGAAATGGAGCACATTTTGTCTATTTTATAACAAATACTATAAATAGAGGGAAAGTGCCTGATAAATATTTAGTGGAGTGTATTCCACAAAATATCTATTCAGTACTGAAACTGCTGTATAATATTATGCAGCCTCAGTGGTCCCTCTCAAATATTTCTTCAAAACCTACTTCTCTCGGTTACTCTCAGAGCTGACCTCCGCCTGATCACTTGGGCCCTTTGCTCGATGTTGCTGCTTCTGATCTTAGACATTCAGGTTCAGATTCCCAACTTGTGAAGCCGGGCATAGCTCAATTTAAATCAATAGAGCTATGCCAGTTTACACCAGCTGAGTATGTAGCCTGCTATATTAAAAATAAATTTATTAATCCATTTTAAAAAGGCACCAGAGCATGTGAAAATCAAAGGTTATCTCATTGTCATTTACTGTAATGTTTGTTCTTTTTTTATTAGTCATTCCTTAGTGTTCTTTGACCAATTTAAATCTTAAATAACTCAGGACAGGCACTTACCTGTTTATGTCAGGTATACATTTTGTAGCTGAAGAAGAAAATAAAATGTCTGAAGTGAATTTTATATTTTCTCTTTCCAGGCTATACTCTTCCTGGTGAGTGGCCTGTTTGTGATGATTGGAAGCATGATCTTGATTATTATGGATTGGATCCATAATTATGCATCTGGTGGACATTAACTGGCACGATTTAATCTCGAATACTCCAGCATTCACTGAAATATCTACTGAGAAAGAAAATTACCTGGGTTTGCAATTTTGCTTCCTTTAAAATGCAGATTCTTTGATGCTGGTTCTTCTGACTGTAGAATAAGTGAACTCTTGAAAAGAAACTATTCTGCATGATGGAAGTGGCTATTAACATCAAACCACCTGAGTCTCTGGCTGAGGGAAGTGACAATTTTATTCCATTCCAGAGAATGGACACAACTCTCTGTAGAATTTTATCAAGCCATGTTTGGCTTTTGTCATTGTTACTTGGGTATTTTATTATTTTACTTGAATGTGCCTAATGGAACCATTTGATGTGAAAAATAACTCTTAATTTACAGCAAAGTGTTGATATATCTAATGAGAGAGAGAGGGAAAAAAAACACTATTATTTTATGTACCAAAAATTCTTATGGACCTCAAAAGCATGATTTTTTTTTTTTATTTAAAAAATGTATCCCAGTGACATAGAACCTGTACAAACATTTAATCTGTGTTCTAAATTTAATACAATTTTCCCTTCTATGGAGGTATAATTATACTGACTTGCAACCAATTTGAGTAGGTCAAAACTCCATAACTAAATAGAAACAGTTTTTTCAGTGAAACTCAGATACTCCAAAATTTAATCAAAGAAGTCATTGTTGATATCACAAGTCATTGTACATAATCAACTAGAAATATCATAGTTTTAAAAAATGGCAATCTGACTCAAGTTTTAATGCTTTTAACCAGTTTCAGGTCATCAGAATGGGTGATGTTTAAAATAAACTTTTATACAGTGAAGAGCTCATAAAGATCTTGAGATTTCTCCTCTTGAGGTTCTCAGTAGTGCAATTGGGTAAAACAGGGTGGTTGTTTGTTTATTCTGATTCAGTTGCAGCTATCTACCAAATCACACTGGGTCATATCATGCCAGTGATATACAAAACTCTCTTTTGAGATTAACCAGGGGTTCTGCTTAATGATAGCATATGACCCATGGTCAATTATGTTTGGGTTTTTTGGCCAGTCTTTCTTGAACTTGCTGCACCATAAAAAAGAGGTCCTGCTATAGTTTACTAATTGTACAGTTTTCACAAACTGTACAGTATTTGTCAGTTTCTCATCCACTGTTGGATTTTAAATTACTTGATGATTTTTGTTCCTATTTTGTCCATGCTAAAAGCCTAATACACAAACTGCACCAGTATTTGGTGATCAATACAAGTTCTCTTCATATAGGCATCTGGGATTCCTCATGCAGTTGATAATGTATAGTAGTTTAAACAAAACAAAAACCCTCATGGACTAAACAGTCATTTTATACTTGTTTGCTTCAGAGATAGATACATTTTGTTTGAGTCCTAACTAGCAAGCTACCAAAACAGGTGCTATATGTTTGTGATTAGCTGTTTTGTTTCTACTGCATGTTTACTATTTATTCCTATCCCAGGTTGAAGAGAAATGGTACCTGCATAAGAGCACATTTGACTTATCAACAGGCTCTTTCTTATACTGCACCCACCAGTGTGGTGTCTAAGAACCTAGACAGAGATAATAAGAGAGAGAGTCATGGTACTTTTGTTCAACTATATTTGGCATAATGTTTTAAAAATCTGATTTACAAAATTAAATGTAGTAGTTGGGTCCAAGGGAACAAATAATGGCATGTAATCAGTTGATTAAACAGCACTGAAGATTTTGTCTCAAAAGCCAGAATCAATTCTAGGTAACAATCACTATTTGGCAGATGATGCCTGTCTTTCTCCACATTTTTAAAATCTATGAAAAATCGCAGATATTTTGATTCATACTTCTGACTACAACTACCAATCACCACATCTGTAGCAAACATAATGAAAAGTGAGAGTTCTCTCATCTTGCTTGTTTGATTAGTCCAGTGGTACTCAACTTTCAATTAGCACTTTGAACTGATCAGTGCTTCTCTTACTGGGACTCAGGAAGAGGAAGTGGAGTTCAGATCAAAGGCTCATTTATTTCTGATCTATGGATCAGTGACATGGCAACTCTTCTTCCTCCTCCCCACGCACACGGAAAGCTGGAGGAGGACTTAAAATGTCCTCTCCCTTCAAGAGTTTATAGTGTGTGTCGAGGATGAAGAGATCCCCTTTCCAGCATCAAAGGGAGCAAAAATTAATCTCTTTCCTCTCTGCAACCAGACGAGAGGGGGAGATCCTTCAGTCATTGTCAGGGGAGATAAGAGGGGAAGATGTTACATGATAGCACCTCATTACGTTGTATCAATACATGTTGAGTCTTGCAAATTAATGCAGCAATGTCTGGACGTTACATTGTGAGTCAGTTGTTCTCTGAAGCGCCATTTGATGACTAAGTAGCTCTTCAGCTGTTAAACTTGAGTACCACTTTGCTAGGTAGTTTTCTAATATATGAATCTGTTGCAAACCTGTCAGTTTAGAGGTCCCTAAACAACATACCAATGGAAATAAGCAGCTTCAGTATTAAACCACTGTATTGTCACCTTGTTTTTACATTGCTGTCTTCCATGATATTTCAGTCATAACTGTAATGTTATTTATAGAACATTAATCAATTAAAACTAAAACCTATTTTTCAATATTTATGATAGTTATGTACATAAACTGTATGTGTGTATATAATGTAAATATATTGTATATAATATAGGTTTGGGACTTTGGGTTTATGTATATATTCCTCTGTCATTATTAATGGTTATTGCATCATTTCAACGAGTTGTTCATGTTGTGCATATGTGTAACAACTGTCAAAGGAAAGTTTCTTTACAGAAAAATGCTATGCTTACAAAAATTGAAAGAGTATGTTACCACTCGAGATGTAAGAACACACGAACATGAAAGGTTTTATTTATTACAAATGTAAATGTTGCAATAAAGAGGAGTCTTTGGGGTCCATAAAGAAGTATAGATCAGGTACAGATTTTTTCATACAGTTTATCATGGATGTTATAATTTCCCAAATGCAGTGACTAACAACTTCTTTTACAGTCTAATGTATCTGTTACAGGTGTTCTACAGTACATCTTTGTATATATTGTGTATATATATCCACTGTATTGTTAGAGGTCAACAATTCAGCTACAGTTGTTGGCAAAGAGTGTTACACAGTTTCAATGAAACATTGTATGTTTGTTTTAACTGAATTAAAAATAAATAAATAGATAATCCTTAGCAATTTTGTGTTTTTTCTTGGGGGATGAAGAGGTGAAGGAATTACTATTAACTCAAAAGCAATGTACAGCACACAGGGGATTTAATTCCTTAGCTATTTGACATTACTTGTATTTTTTTTTTCAGAAGTGTTCACAGTAATCTAAGAATTATGCAGCATTTGACTTATGAACAGACTCTCAAACACCACTATGATGGGCATGATCTAAGAACCTAGACAGAGATTATCAAAAAATACTCATGGTATTGTGTTCAACTATATTCATCTGGTATAACGTTTAAAATATCTGATTTATAAAATTTCATTTAGTAGTTGGGCTGGAGGGAACAAGTAATGCCATGTAATCAGTTGATTAAACAGCACTGAAGAATTAATCATGCAAGGAAAATTTATTTATTACAGTAGCACCTAGAAACCATCCATGGCTGGAATCCTACAGTGGTAGGTGCTGTATATCCTCAAACCACTCACTACACAAATGGCCAGCTTCCTCCAAGACAGTTCTGACTTCTGCCAGAAACTCCACAACATTAACAACCTGCCCCAGAACACCAGCGTGGACGTCACCTCCCTATACACCACCATCCCTCACCATGACAGCATCGCTGCATGCCTCAAATACCTACAAGATACTGTACAACACTTAAAAACCCACCCTAAATGAATCACCAAATATCCATTTCATCCTTAAGCACAACAGTTTCGCATTTAACAGTGCACTTTGTCCAAAGCATGGGAACAGTCATGGGTACTAGGATAGCTCCCCCATATGCTAAGCTTTTCATGGGTCAACTTGAAGAATTTCTGGGAGAAGGCACCACAAAACCAACTATGATGAATTGATATTTTCATCCTCTGGATGGACAAATTAAACTCCCTCAGACTTCCAACACAACTTCTACAATCACCACCCATCCATCAAAATTTCTCTAGAACACTTCAACACCAGCATCAACACTCTGGGCATACGATCAGCTTTAACAATGGAACCCTACTAATGACTACATACAACAAACCCATGGATCATCACACTTGACTCCACAGATCCAGCAATCACCCCAGACACACCGAGGCACTCAGATAACACAGAATTTGTTCCAAAGAGCAGTTTGGGGTACACATCTTAACACACTTAAAAAGGCCTTCACTAAACAAGGACACACTGCCAGAGATGTAGATTGGGTGGACCATTCCATGCTGCAAACACCCCATGAGAACCTGCTTCAATATGGGGGGTAGTGGAGGGAATCTCACTGACAACACACCCTTAGTTGTCACCTACCAGCTTACCCTGGAACCTGAGGTATCATCAAACAGTTAACAAACCATATTTGATGGGGACTCACATGTGAAAGAAATATTTATTGAATGCCCTCTTCTGGTCTTCAAGCAATCCACCAAGCTCATCATCAGAATTCACAGACCAGGTCACACCAACTCAAAGCAGCACTAGACCCTGCCAGAACAACAGATGCAAAACCTGCAGACATATCTTCACTGCTATGATCATAAATACCTTCCACAATACACCTTTCAAGATTCATGGGTTCTAGACATGCCCATCACAACATGTGGTGTACCTTATCCAGTGCATCATATGTCCCACATCAACTATGTGGGTGAAACCAGACAATTATTACATTCTCAAATGATACAGATAAATGCTAAAAGACAAAAACACCATGTCACCCATGGGCAAATACTTTCACAAACAAATAACTTCATATCTGACCTCTCAGTCCTCATCCTCAAAGGAAACCTGCACAACACTTTCAAAAAGTGAGCCTGGGAATTTAAATTCGTAACGCTGATAGAAACTAAAAATCATGGACTCAAGAGACACTGGTTTTAAGGCTCCCTACAACAATTTGTAACACACCACACTGCCTGCTAACCCTTAACTGCCCACTTCATTTTAAGCAGTCTCCTATAGCATGTGTGAACCCCCCATATTTAACAATCTGTCTCAACTTCTGTTTAGCGCAGGCACTTTGGTAATCTTTCCCAGACCTGAAGAAGAGTTCTGTGAAGCTCAAAAGCTTTTACCTTCCACCAACAGAAGTTGGACAGTAAAAGATGTTAACTCTCTTACCTTGTCTCAAACATAATAAAAGACAGTCCTGCCCAAAAAAGTTCGCAGTCTAAAGCCATATTCCTGTAACTGGATCTACATGAGTAGAACCCTGTGCCTGT